TGGACATTTGTGTGTGAGAGGAGTCTGGAGTGCAAGGTACAACCAGGAACTTGCTGCACTATAGAGGCAAATTTTGTCTAGTTTACTGTAAAGTTTTAATTACCTAAATCAAAATATTTTTAATTAGGATTCTGCCATTGAGTCGAACAACAGAATAAAACATTTATTTTATTATAGTTATTGAAATTTACAACCGTATTAAATAGAACACTAACAGTAATGCGGATAGAACAAGAATATTGATACGAACAGACTTATCGAGATACAAAACAATAGGTCTCCCTAAATAGTTTTCAGTAAGATTCTGAGGCCATCTGAAGAGATGGATGGTTGGGGTGATCAGTAAAAATAAAAGAGTAAAAAAATAATTGTATTTATTTTCACAATCACCGACGTTTCGATCTGAAGTTCAGGCCTTTATCAGGGCTGTTCTATCAACAAGCGTAGACAAACCACAGAGACTGCCTACACTTGTTTATGGAAGAGTTCTGATGAAGGACTGAACTTTGGCGAATGTGAAAATAAATACAATTATTTATTTTGACTGATCACCCAACCATCCTTCTCTTCAATTATTCACTACAGTCAACCATCAACCCACAATTACAAAATATTTTTAGTTATCGCTTCCTATTTAACAAATTACGCGACTTCCTTAAAAAAAACAAAAACTTGTCCTATCTAATCTAAATTTAATTGTATCTTATACAATAAAATATATGTAACCAATTAATGTAATGTAGAATTTCTAAATACTAGAATCCATAAAATCTTTATGTAATAAAATTTGTGAATTTCAGAAATTTATTTATGGCATTGATATATAATAAAAATTTTATCATGTTTTATATCATATAATAGAAATTATTTTATTTTTTTAAATTTTGTAACACAGTTATAAGCTAAAAATTCAAACTTGCAGAAAATTGAATTAACTGAAAAATAATGAAGAGAAGAATAGTTGGGGTGGTCAGTCAAAAATGAATGATAATATTTATTTTTTACATATGCCGACGTTTCGACCTGAAGTTCAGGCCTTCATGAGGGCTAAGAAAATAACCAGATCTGGTTATTTTCTTAGCCCTCATGAAGGCCTGAACTTCAGGTCGAAACGTCGGCATATGTAAAAAATAAATATTATCATTTATTTTTGCCTTCCTTTTTGACTGACCACCCCAACTATTCTTCTCTTCATTATCCACGACAGTCAACCAATTACAACTGAAAAATATTTATATACATATGTATGTGAAGGAAAAACCCCGAGACCAACCTTTAAAACTATTAATTTTGAAGTAGAATCTAAATTAGGGGTATAAGTAGTTTTTACTGCTAGCTTATTTTGCTTAATGTAGTGGCACTAGAATTGAACTCAAATTTGAGTAGTTCTTATTAAGGCACAAATAGAAAACACTTAGCTTCATTTAGTTTTATGGAAATAATTTATTAACCATATATGAGATCACATAAATTCAAAACTTCCATCTTTATTTTATTTATTTATTTATTTTTTTTTTTTGTTTTACAATGTATGTATATACATACATTTGGGTATATACACCAAATTTAAAAATAAAATGGAAATTTTTTAAATAAACAGACTGTAACTCTGTGTTCTCTTAGAAAAGAGAAAATACAAATATACAAAATCAGCTTTTTTTATCAATAGACAAAAGTCAAAACAATAAATAATCATCAATTATACATTACTTATATACATCCATGAATATATATATATATTAGTATTTTTTCTCATAGAACATTCATTCACATTTCTAAGATATTTCACATAAGTGAAAATTAATCATTTGTTGTTGTTATTCCCTAAACTTACAAGTTAATCTAAAAACAGATCTGAAAAATGTGCATGTAGGAAAAAAGACAGATTTCAAAATTTACAAATAATACTGTTCTAACACTGTTCATAATAAAACTTACCAATCACAAATATACATAAATACATTATAACACTACTTATATTATCACATAGAATGAATTGATCAGTTCAAAACTATAAAACTTTTTTTTTAAAAACAATAAATATAATAATTTGAAAATAAATAAACTGTATATCAACAGAAAATGAAAATAAAACAGTATACATAAAAACATGTAAGGATAATTTGTTATCCTTAATAAATAAATGTTTTAATAATTTGAGTGACATAATGATACAAAAAAAGACATTTGGCCACTTCATTTTCAATTAAAAAAAATATACATAAAACTAAACTTGAAAGACTAAAGGATTAGACTGATCTTAAAACTTCAGAACTAGAAGTCTTCAGAACTGGTTAGAAACTTTCATAATGATGGAGATACCATCGACAGTAGATGTATTTCAAGAAGTTCGTAAGAGGATGTAGTTAAGAAATAAAAGGCCCAAATAAAGTGCAAGCTTATTTTTAATGAGAACTGATGTTTCATATTTTTCTATGCACACTATTTCATTTGTATGAGGTCATGGTGGTCTTATCATACAGTTAACCATATATCCCATAATTGGCCGGGTAAGGGATAAATAAAAACAAACAAACAACTGTTATATATTCTTTTAAGTATTTTATACTTAAAGAACAATTGATTCCGTGATAGTTATTTGGATGAAAATTAAAAGTTTTAGGCAATACAAATTTAAATACAATAATTAAATCTAAATGTTTATTTTAAACATTTAGATTTGAACAAAAGAGTTTTTTCAACTGCTTCCTCTGGCATCATTGGATGAAAGCCATAGACATACAACGGATTTAATCCAATAAATATTACTCCCTCATATTACATGTGTTGCTATTGGCAGCATCTCCCAACTAACTCCTTCTTAAATTAAATACAGTTTATGTCAATTGTTATTATATTTATCTTGGAAACATCATTAATAAACTTAATTAGATATGGGTGAAGATATTTAGAAAAACTAACTTTATCTCACTGATGTTATTGCAACTTCCCCTCCAATCGCAAATGCTTTAACTTAAGTATATCATGTGATTACAGCAGGTGTAAGCACAAGTACAAATATTATTTTGACACCAAAATAACAATCATTAAAAACTAACTCACTTATTACAATGTAATAAAACTAACCAAAACAAATATTCAAAGAACAATTAAACGGTAGTCATTTTTTTTTTTTTTTTTTGGTAATGACATCACAAGCGTCTTCTTAGTATTAAATGTGATATAAGATTTTCAATATTTTTCATAGGGAAAAAAAAAAAGAAGTATGTGTATGTATATATATATACATACATACACTCACATATATATATACAAGAGCAAATAACTCAAAAAGAGAGATAAATGGAAACTTCCTTGAGTATCTAATTAATATACAGGTGAACTGTCAAAGTCAATACCACTGTTCACCCGTGTATTAGGGACTCAAAGCTTTATGATAAAAAATACAACTAGTTTTCAATTTAACACACTAATATGACACCACCATGCCTAATAAAAATCTACTGTAAATTTCATTTTCTTCAATAAATTAAGAATAAAAAAAAAGTATAAAATAAATTATTTAGAAAATCTCACTCAAACAAACAAAAATACATTAAAAAGCGAGGCTAAAAATCTAGTTATCAAAAATCTATAACTAATCTTAAATAAAAATAAAAATGTTTTGCACCCTTCTAAATAGTTAAAAATAAGTTAAATATTGATAAATTTCATAACATATAAAATAGAATTGATTAAAATCAAGGAATAAAAAAAGATCCGTGTTTAATAATAATTTTGTAAATTTTAAAATGATACGCAGAATCCTACCATTTTTGGTGGTAAATAAGTCTGTAACAATAAAGCTTTATTTTCATATCTAGCAATGAAAAAATATAAATACTGGAAATAAGTAACTAAAGAGATCTATCAAACACACACAAACAAAAAAAAAAAAAAAATTCTAAACAGTTTGCTAGACTAGCACAATTCACAACTACAATGCATACAAAGACAAGAAAAGTCAGAAAATTAAAATAAAATGACAAAATCAAAAATATAAATATAGATGTATCATTGGGCTACTGAGAATTAATGCTCTGATATAACTTAAAATTAAAACTTATCAAATAAAAGCCTCAATAATTTTAAATTATACTTGTGCATATATCTGACAGATTAGTGATATTCATTTTTAAAAATTAAAACTAGTTCATTTATGTTATATACATAAAAAAATTTTGTTAATCTAAATTAATTTAGAAGAAAATGAGAACACTGAACAATTGCAGTGGCTGAAAGCTAAAGAAGCAACATCAAACTGTATATGACAAAAGTCATTTTACATAAAAAACAATTTATTTAGTTAAGAATATTTTGTTTGTTTTTATTCAATAATTTATTAACAGGTCATGTTTACACCTTGAGAATGCATTTGATTTGCAGAATGCCTGCTGCCTATGGACTCAGTTAAGAAAATAAAAAGACCTTTTCATGGAAGTGATTCATTCAAGTGAACAACTTGTTTGTGTTCAAGATTAAGTTCATATTAAAATGAACTTAGTTTATTCTAAAGAAAAAGAAACAAAAAACTAAGATTAATATAAAGCAATACACAGCATAGTGTAAAACAAAATATTGATTTAGTAAACAATTACTTTTTGATAAAGCATGGTTTAATTAAGGAACCTAATCCAAAGTGAGAGTAAATAAATGCATTATCAATAAATATAATACAATTGTATAACAAAAAAATCTGTAAAATCAATAAATTAAAAGTAAACCGTTAAAGTAAATGATTCAAAAGTATAAATTAATTAAAATGAGTTGTACTTTTGTGACACCTAAAAATAAAATTAGCTAACATTCACCAAACTCTAAAAAATAGAAATAATTATCCAAATATAAATTATAAAATGGAAAAATAAAAATTCTAACATAAGTAATAGTATTAATGAGTATTGATGTAAACAATACTGTGAATTAGTATCACAGGTTTAACAGAAAGAGAGATATCATCAATGCATGAATGAGATGAAGAATAAACAAATATTTCAGGTCACAAACACAAAAAAAAAGTAAAATATCAGTCAAGGTCAGCAGTCTTAAAACAAAAAATAAAGCCTAACATCTCGTGTTGTCATGACCCGAGGACAATAGAAGTTGATAAACCTATCAGTAAAGGAAAGATGGGGCATCGCTAAATGGCGTACTGTCAAGAACTTGACAAGCAGCTGCTATGTAAATATGGCACTAATCAGTGAAACCGTGGTGTCTTACACCATACCCCAGATGGCTTCCTTGATTCCTCATCATCTTCCTTCTTTATTTCAGTGAACCGCTCTCCTTTCATACTTACTATCTTATTATCTCGATAGCGCACCAGCTTCTTTGGTTCCTAATAAAATAAGATAATAAATGAATATATGTTTCATGAATTTTAGGAACAAGAGATAAATAAGGGAAAAAAAAAACAACTTATGAATACAACTAAAAGTAAATATAATTTAAATATATAATTATAAATATACAATAAATAAATATACAATTATGACAAACGATTTTATTTGGTGAAAACATTTATAAATTTTCATTTATTAAGAAAAATTCTTGAAAATGTGGCGGATACCAACATATTTGTTTTTCCCTAATTTTTCATTGAGTAATATGGTTGAAAAAATAACTTGGCTTTTAGTTATTAATCAAAAAACAAAAACAACTTAAGTTCATTTTTCTATTTCTAAAATAGTTACTTATTTAATAATACATTAAAATGTATACAGAATATAAAATTTCTTCATAAGAAATATATATATTAAAGATAATGATATTTGCACTACATTTCATTCATCAATGAAATACAATTCATGAACATAATAATTGAATCTGACCAAGAAATTTTTGATACTTACATAAAAAGAAATCAATATAACAAGAAACAGGCATACAAAATGTGTTGCACAAATAGAAAACAAGTACAAGAGTTATTCAAAATAAATTGAAGAAGACTTCTTGAGAAGCTGGAAGTATTAAATCAAACAGACTATTTATATTTTTTGAGAGAAAGACAAAAAAAAAAAAAAAAAAAAAAAAATACGAATTTATAACAAAATATTAATTTAAACTTTTTTAAAAAATTCAAGAAATTTATATCACGACAAATCAAAAAAAGATTTCAAACTTTGTTTGAATATAGAAAGGAAACTTTTCTACATGGAAATAAAGAGATTGTCCGAACTGCAATTTTAGAATAATTCAAATAAATGATACAGATCAACCAAAAAAACAAACTGATTTGAATTTCATCCAACGTAAGTATAATAAACCATATCCTACCTATTCCTTTCAATATAAAAGTTTGGAGAATGAATGAACAATTGAACCAAAAAGAAAAATGTTAGATCGATGACAATTTCAGATTAAAACACAAATGTTTAGAACTCTGTTTATTTGGATTATAAAGGTCAAACTGAATTTAATACAAATGCACAATTCTCAACCAAATTATGCACATAATAACTTTAGCCATAAAGGATAATCAGATGATCACAAATGTAAAAATATAAAATAAATATTGGCGGCTCTTCTGATGTCTTCTCTAGTAAATAAGATTTTTTCTAATTATTTCTTTATAACAAAATGATTTAAATTAGATGGTTCAAAAATTGGGGAAATCAATAAAAAACCTATATAGTGGATTTCCACATATTTTTTAATCCAAGAACTAACAGATATAAGATTTTTAATTGGTATATATATAAAACACAAAGAAGTCAGTTAAGAGGTTATGATATGAGGCCATCAATATACAAATTGAGTTGCAAACAGAGATTAAGAAATGAGATAAAAATTCAAGGTTAATACAACTTACTGTTTTGGGGGCAACAGGTCTATGTTCCCTAGCATCCTCATCTTTATCAACAAAACTGTATCTTGCAATAATTCGTGATTTAAGTTCCCTGTCATCAACTGCTGATTTTTGCTGAGCTCCATGCTGAAAGTAATATTCATAAAAACAAGGTCAATAAAATCAATAATTGATATACAATGGACATAATTACTTCATTGGCGGACATACAGTAAAGTAATTACATAAATATAACAAGCATAATTAAGAATTACCTATAAATTAGCATTACTAAGAGACAATAGAAGATCATCGGTTTATTGAAAAATTTATATTTTTGATGGTATTGAACTTATAAGAACGTTTTTGTGTATTTTGACCTTATTGATTAAAAAAATAAAATAAGTGCACCAAAAAGGCAAAAACCTTTTTATAAGTCAAATATAGTAACAACACAATGTGCGATTTTACAAAGGGAAAAATTTAACAAAGTTCTTAGTTTTTTAAGGTTATGGAATGTCACTTAATGACTTTTTGCAATAAAGCAAAGAGATCTAGTTTCATCAACCAAGTGAAAGCAAAATTAAGTTTAATAAAGTAAAAAAAATAGTAAAACATTAAAGAATTATTTTCGGGAAGAGAAGGAGACATGAGTAATTATAAATAGTTTACAATGTGCCTAGACGAGATTACAAATTGGGAAACTGTTATGCTTATAGACAAGTCTATCTGCGATTGTAGGTGGTGAGAACAGGAGATGGCTACACTTCCACAGTTTGTGCTTCCTTCAATGCAGTCAAATGGTGCAATCTACTCAGGAGATCGGACTCTATTTCATATTATGGAAGATAATCTCAATGCAGTTCGTTAAATAGAGTTCATTCCTCAAACCAGAGCCATAATTGACATAGGCACATATTTCCATTTTCTTGACAATACGCGACCTCATAGGGAAAAGTTGTTCATCGATGACTTGAAAATCTGGACATTTCATATCTGCCCCTTCACCTATTGTCTCCACATCTCGATCCATTGAGCACATATGGGATGCACTGCAGAGAAGACTTTTTGACCACCATTTGCAGCTTCTTAATCTTTAGCAACTGAGAGCAGTATTACCATGTTTATAGTATGAAATTACTTGTGAAATCAGGGAAAACATTATAAGCAGTATGCCAAGAGGTGCATAACACAGGATATTACACAAACTATTAACTCCTACAAAATGTTTTTATTTCACAATCATAAAAACAAGATCCCATAAACCATTAATTTTTTTTTTAAATACCTTTTATAACATTTCCCGAGGTCAAATATCTTTTTTAGATTTATTTTCAATGCATAAAATGATAAAAATAAAATAATGTTAGGGAAAATAATTGAAGAAATTAGAAGGTTTATTTATTTCAAACATAAATTTTGGGACTAAAAACATTTAGTTTTTTCTTATAAATACGGATCAATTCCTATAACAGAGATGCAGGTAAAAAAGCGCTTGCGCGTGCGTAAGCGGAAGTGCTGGATGGAATTTGAAAAAATTGATATGGGATCATCTAGGCACAAATCTGCATAGTCTCTGAAAATTTCATGAAAATAGGATGAACGGTACTAGGTGATATGCCCGTCACATCGATTTGACTACAGACAGACACCAAACCAACTTTGATCCTTGATGTCTGAAACGTAAAAAGAGAGTGAAAATTTTCGATTCTAAGCACAAAATTTTTTTCAATCTCTCGCATAAACACAATGCTTCCCTATCTTTGGTGATGATGAAGTAAAAGTTTCATAACCATTTAACATAAAAAATCATTATTTTTAATTTTTTTTTATAAATAAAAAGAGCATTTAGGCAATTATGTTAATTATAATACATGCTATATCATGGGGAACACAAAATATAACAGCTTTTCAACAATTAATTATAGTCTTTTTGCTGAAAACACGGGTACTTTTAGGTGACAGGATAAAAAATCTGGTGCGGGCAACACACAACTTTCACTTACCGCTCTACTTTGAATAGAAATTATTTCCTGGCAATGTTGGAGTGTTATAAAATTTTTGAAATGCATTTTAAACGGAGCTAAAGCTTAAAGCTTACAGATAACAAATCATTAAGACCATTAAAATTACAAAAAGTCTATTTATTATATCAATGGTAGGCAATGAAAATCAAGTTTTATAAACCACATAACTTCAGTCTCTGAGCCTATCAATTGACAGAATGACCAACTCCAATTTCAACAATTTTGAGTAATGTCATTTGAGTGATATTTCTAGTTGGAAAAGTTATATCTATACAGACAGTGAGCAAGTTGATTACAGAGTAGGTAGATTGCAATGTTGAAATATAGAACTGTCAATAAAGGTATGAATTTTGCCTCTAGAAATATCACACTAAAATTAATAATAAAAATGTTGAAAATGGATGATCCCTGTAAAGCAACATCAATGGGGACAAGACCTAAATGATATTAAAGAACACTTAATTATACAATGCTTCACTGACTTTAATCAAAATTGTTAGAGCAGTTTTTGAGAAAATTGTAAAAATGTGTTTCGCCGTTGATATAAAGTGGCACTTCCGGTTAGCTGATTTTAAGGAAAAAGTTGCTGTAACATCTAAGGCATATACCTATCTTAAATACGTAATATCAGTTTCGTACGACTTTTCGTTTTTGAGCTCGACTGTTCACACACACGCACATTGACATGCACACAGACATTTTACAGGACATGGTTATTTGGACTCAGGAGTCATTAAAACATGTATTTCTGTTAAAAACTCAGATTCAAAAATTTTCATGATCGCAATACTTATCCTTACTAAACATTTCATACTTAGGTAAGTGAACGTAAAAATCATATTATTTTTGTACACTACCTGAGGTGAATCTTCGGTTTTTCCGAGATAGACCAGAACTTAATTTATATGGACTTAAAGCACGTTGAACGAAGTTTTTGTAAATATGGGGTGTCTGAACTATAATTGGATGATCATAAAAAAATTGCGAATAACTGAACTCTATTCTCATTTGATGAAAATTTTATGTAGTTTACATTGAAGCAATTGTTAATAACATAAATTAAATACTCATTTAGTTATCGCTTACTATTCAATAAAAACTATGACACTTAAAAAAACACAATACTTGGATTTCTAATCTTTCTGCTGAAAACAGGTTCCTTGTTTATATGAACTTTTTTGTAGCTATTGAGGTCTGCTATCACTTTTATAAAAATTTCCCTCTACTTCCAGAACGATACCTTATAATCACATATATTATTACTCCATGGTACAGACCCCTTTTTATAAAATTATAAACATCCGGCCGAAACTTCGTAAATAGCTTCATCTCATCGTAACCTACAAATATTTTATTTACAAAAATTCTTGGGATTGGGGTGTTTTTAATCTGGAGGTTGACAAATTTGGTCTATTTAATTAGGTACTAAAAACTCGTAAATACACATATGCTTTCTACTTAGATTGTAAAATAATTTGACAACAAAATGAATAAATAAGATGGCCTACAACAATATTGCGCCGTTTGGCCTATATAACCTCATTACTTTGACTAATTGGGGATGTAGGGCATGCCAAACGGCCCAATATTTTTTGAGGCCACCTTTTTCCTGACTTTATGCCCAAGTTATCTAACGATTCAAGTTGAAAGCAAATGGGTATTTAAGAGTTTTGGTACCTAATTATATAAACAAAGTTTGTCGACCTCCAGATTGAAAATGTCCCAATTCCAAGAATTTTCGTAAATAAAATATTTGTAAGTTATGAGAAGAGATGAAACTATTTACGAAGTTTCAGTTGGATGTTAATAATTTGATAAAAGGGGGAGGGTCTGTACTACAGACTATATCTATTACCATTAATATGATTTTGATGAAATTTTTAGGGTTGGCACCTAAATGGTCCTACATCAATTTCCACCCACTACTTCTGCTTCTGGATTAGAAGAAATTCCTCATTCAATTAGGATCAAAGTTGAATGGAAGTCAGAGATTAATGAAAAAAATTACAAGATGATCTGTTTTTAGAACTTCTGTTGTAAAGGAGTACTCTTAAATTTTAGTTGTATTTGTTCTATGTAAATAATGTCCAATAAGGTCCATTGTACTAAACGAATGCATGTATCGGTTAGTTTTCAATGTAGAACCACCAAAAAAAAAAAAAAAAAAAAGAATAAAAATCAGTGATCACACACCCTGTAATCCAATTGCGAGAGTCAAGATAATACACTAAATAAGTTTTCTACATTATGAAAATTGTTTAGCCTGCTATGAGATAAAAAAAATGAACCTGTATGATTGAAGACTGATTTAAAGCTTGTCCTGTTTCCTGACGATGAAGAACCAGCTGAGCAGCTGTAGCTATGTCACCTCCAGCAATAGTCAAACAATGGCGAACTTCCATTTCACAGAGTCCAGGAAACATTTCTTGTAACACTTGTATTTGTTCATAATCGGTAATATCCTAAAGAAAAGATAGATTTTTAAAATAATGATTAATTTTAAGTATATCTTCTAGGAGGGAATATAAGAGTCATATTCAGATGAATATGATGACAAATTTTAAGCATTATATATTTGTTTTTGAGTCTTCTTTTTATGTCTGAAATGTTAAACATCAGTGCAAGTATATAATAGTCAGTAGCTATACATAATAGTTGAGTAAAAATTTTCACTCAATCATAATAATTCTTCTTAGCTTTTTCAGAAACAAAACTTATTCAATTCTAAGAGATTTTCAATTTTTCACATTATAGAAATTTTTTTAAAACTTTTCAATTTGTTTTTCATAAACATAACCTAAGGTTGAGTGAAATTTACAAATTTATTCAAAGCGGAATATGTAGAGTTCTCAACTGAATTAATGTGATATTTTTCAGAATTATAAAGAAAAACATTATAACGAAGCTGTTCTTGTGTTTGATAATGAGCAAAAAGTTTTTGAAATTTTAAAAATAATATGATCATGACAATTTTCCAAAAAAGTATTTGAGGGATCAAATATCTCCTAGAATTTTTTTATGATTACTAATTCAAGGAAAGATTCAGATTAAGAAAAAGTATAGTTGCAAATACCTTAATCACACTATTTCAGAATGATAATGGTGATTAGAGAGTATAATTTTTACCTTGTGTTACAATCATGCAATATTATTTATTTATTTAAACCCTACCATGCCATTGAGGCAATACAGGTTTTGCAGAATTGGGCTGTTACACTTCTCTGCATAACAGCTTGCTTCTGCAACGAGACCAATTTTCATATCTTCATTTTCTGTTTATCGCCTTTTTCCACTCCTCCTCGTTCTGGCGGCCTCTCTGGCGCAGGTCCTCTTCATGTGAGGTGTAAGTCTGCGGGTCCAATTACTTCTTTCCACGCGTACACAAATTCTTTGTAGTACGGATAGTTTTCTTCCATAACTAGCTCAGGGAAATCGTTTTCTGTGAGATTCTCACAGCAATTTGGCCCTTAGCAACTCTAAGGCGGTGCAGTTCATGATAACGTGCTTAGCAGTCTCCGGGATTCCACAATTAGGGCATAGAGGATTGATGTCTTTTCAAAATCCATGGGGCTTGATACAAAGTCCCCATGCCCTGTAAGGTATTGCGAGATCCAGTAATCTGGGAGGATTTACATGGCTTCCAAACGTGATTGAACAGTGGAAAAGTACTTCCTCACTTTGAGATTTCCCGATAGACCTGCTTCTAACATACAGTAATATTAGCGGAACAAGTAAATAAAAGTTCTTTTTTCTTTCCTTGAGGCTGTCTTACACCACACATTTTATTTAATTATGAACTTGAGTTCATTTAACAGTGTTGTGTTTGTTTATTTATTTAGATTAGAGCGAAAATAAATGATAGTTGTATACAATTAAAAAGATAATACATACGTTTATTTCTTATATAAGTAGACAAAATTAAAATTTTAAAACAATGAAAATAAATATTTAATGTAAATTTTTTTAATTGTTCTGGCTAGAGGTATTTTTCAAAACAAATAACTACAGAACCTTATTTTCTTTAAGTTGAATACAATTCTTAAAAATAAATTTGAGAGCATGTCTAGTTATAGGAGATATTAGTACATATCCTAGAAAAAGTTCAATATTAGTACATACCCTAGAAATTATTCAAACATTTATACCTACAAAAATAGTTTTAAATATATTTTAACTACTTTCAGGCGGTTTAAATTAATACAAATTTATAGTTAACAATGACTGCTAAAAACTTGTAAGAAATCAATTTTATGGAGGATATCAGAAATCTTTGTAAATATTTGATTTTAAAACACTTTCTAGCTAACAAAAAATGAAAAAGATTTTAAGTAAAACCGTTTTTATACATTATTATATTTTTTCTAGGTAAGCAGAATGGCAGCAAAAAGGTGTTAAAACTTCAAGAAAAAATGATTAATCACCAGCTCAAACCAAGTAATTTAGCAAAGAGTAGAATGATTGATTGATTATTCATATTTCAAACTCACTTTCTAAACTAAACAGAGATAATGGATATAAACAGAAGGTACAAGAGGTATGTGCATCTTAGGAGTGAAAGCCCTTTTTTGAAGATGCAAGACGCACACGTATCCTGCATCCAGGATGCACGGATCTTGCATCTTGTATTTTCGGTCTATATCTGCCAACTTCCATCAGTTGTAATATTGACATCATTTAAAATTTCAAATATTTTTATTGAAGTTTTAGTATGAATTTAATTATCAATACTGGGAGTTGTCCATTGCTCCATAAAATACCCATTCTCTTGACACCTCATTTATTATACTCCATCATTCATGGAAATTGGAAAAGGGATCTAAAAATAAATAAAATTTTGGACTCAGACTTTATAAATAATTACTACTTTTAGGTAATGAGATGATTTGGGCAGAATCACATTCAATCACCAGTTTTTTTTCTCAACTGAGAATATCTAATTTGTAGAGGCTGTATTGAAGAGGACCTCCCGACTCCAGGGTTGGTCCATGGCTTTATATGCCAACATGTTTTTTTTTTAAAGCTGAGGGGTTGTCCAGGGATCAACCCCTGAAACACAAAAGTTAACAATTGTACAGTCAGAACTTCACCACCATTTTGCTGCAAACCAGTTCTGTAGAGTTAATCTGTTTATTTGGTGGTGTGCACACATTAAGGTACTCTCTTAAGAAATGGCAAGAAAAGACAATATGAGATGCTAAACTTTAAGAGAACAGCCTGGTGGAGGAAGTATGGAGGAGTCAGGCGAGGAACATTTTCTCCAAACAGAAACTATAAGAACTCAGGATGTTCGGTACATGTTGAAGCCACCACTTCACTCGGAAGCTGTTCCACATGGCGAGAATCGAGTCATCAAACGATATCGGAGCTTAGAACAAGGACTTCTGAAACTCGTTCGTCCTCCACAATCTATTCCTTCAGGTCCCATTACTGTCAAGGAATCGAAACCAGCCAAACATCTTAATTCGATTAAAAGAACTCTCTCCTTTTGTTGACGAACTGGACACCATCAGGGTGACGGCAGGCTATATTCTCCCGTTAGCATTCCTTCTAACCATCCAACATTCTTGCCCAGGAAATGCAACTTGTCACACATTAGCATTAGAGATCTACATGAAAGGCATTTTCAACTCGGTCCCAATTTGACACTGTCCTTACTCAGGAAGAGTTTTGGATTCCGAGTGCATTAGGACTAAGTTAGGAAGTACTCCTTTGCACTTATTTTTTCTCCTTTCCTGTAGAAGTTTGATATCTTTAATTTAGATTTTTAAAAAATTTTTTTTTGTTCTTTCACTACCATTTTCAATGAAAGATCGATCACACCTTCCTTTTTTTTTTTTCTTGTTTTATGTCAGTTCATGAACATAAGTTAATTTTCATTTTATCATTGTTTATGCTAGAACTAAGTCATTTTTGCCTATTCATTAGCTTTATTAACATTGTAACATTTTTTCTACGTATTTATTTTTGGTTGTGCAAAATATGTCACATTCAGACAATCAAATCTTAAATCAGCTATACTTGATTAAGGTGGGCGGTTTGTTCAGGGATCACCCCCTGAAACACAAAAATTAACAATTGTACAGTCAGAACTTCACCACCATTTTGCTGCAAACCATTCCTGTAGAGTTAATCTGTTCATTTGGCGAAGTTTGCACACATTAAGGTACTCTCTTAAGAAATGGCAAGAAAAAACAATATGAGTTGCTAAACTTTAAGAGAACAGCCCGGTGGCGGAATATGGGGAGGAAGAAGAGGTGGCCAAAACCATGAAGCTCAATTTCAGATAGAAAGTGAGTCCAAATTGACAATCAAGCAATATGTAATAATCTGTAAAGGACGACAAAATTATACAATGGCACAAATTTCATTTATTTTATATTATTCAATTATATGCAATATAACCATGTTCTCAATATTTTGTTCAATTTAATCAAGCATCAAATCTCAGTGATCCAACCTCATACAGTCCACACCAATTTTCACAATCACCAGCGCACACAATTCACTTATAGATTATTGGGTAATATTTGGCTCACACGAAATTACCATCAAACAGGGGTATTGAAAAAGAGATTATACCTACAAAACCTGGTATAATGTGATTACTTACCAAATCTGATTACTACCTAAAAATTGATTCACAACAAAGATAAAAAGCTATCATATAACACAATGTTAACATTTTATATTAAAAAAAAATTCTCAGTTCCTAGAGCATTCAGGCAAGAACCCTCTGACATGGGTTTAATATTTTCTGACTTAGTATGAACTTTAAAGTTTCATTGAAATCAATAAGCCTACATCCATATTCTCCCAATGTAAATTGGAATGTGGATCACCTAACCACAAACATTTTAAATAAGCCATTTTTTTCTAATCTACCATACGATGAGACTCTCCTAATTAATTAGCAGAATTAAATACGAACTGAATTGCATTTTAATATACTTCACATAACTTACTTCATGAGCATAATATTCTCCACTACTATCTGAGCTGCAACTCCCATCACTTGCTTCAGAAAGCTGGTGCTTACGATGTGTTCCTTTATCAGTGGTACTACATTCTGAAGAGGAATTATGATTCCTTGATATATTTATAGGAATCAATAGTTCTGACAAATCCCTTTCAATATATGATTCATCTGTAAAAACAAGTAGGCACTCATTTACTAAAAAGTAAATACAAAATAGAAACAATTGAAAACAACGTCAAAATGACATACTGCTTCCACACAGGTTCCTTAGGGTCGCTTCTAGCTCAAACATCCACTGACAGACTTTAGGTAAACTTATAGTACTAAATTCTGGAACATAAGCTGCCATCATTTCACAAAATCCTTCTGCATCAAATGCATCTTCAACATCACCAGAACTCTCATCTCCTAGTTCTTCAAGAATACTCACAACATAGCTGAGTACTATTTCATCAATAGTACTAAAAGGAATAATCAAGGATATTAATCATTTAGAAAACCATAATATTAAATCTTCTTTTTAAGACATTGACATCTATATACCTTATCTGAGCACAGGGTATGTGCTGCATCAGAAATTTAAATAATGATTCTTTTACTATAAGTTCTTTTTCTTCAGCAGAGGCCTTATTCATGATCAAACGCAATATCAGAGTTATTAAAGAAATTAATACTTCCTAGAGGCAGAACTAGGAAAAGTGCAGTGAAAATCAATAGGTTCTACTGAAAGTTAAATGTATTCTAAAAACCACGAAATTAATCAATACATCACAAAGAGATTTTGATTCAGGATACTAGAGTAGCAGAATCGGGACAAAGACAAAATATTCCACCTAATTAAAATATTTAAAAATCTAAAATCCTAAAATGGCTACTAGCTCGGCGAACACAGCGTCCATATCAGGCTTAGCAAGACTGTAAACACAGCTGACTTCTTTTCCAGCTGTTGTTACAGCATCAGATATCTTCGTCTTTCAGCTACGTACGGAGGTATAAGCCTTCAGCCAGCAGAAGAAAAGTTGTTATCTTATGATATAAACAGAAAGTCACTTGAATTAGGTTTGAACTAATCGAGCACTACTATATCAAACATTGATAACTCCTACCGGCACTACAGTATTTTGGACAAACTTTAACTTAATTAAACTATAACTCATCAAGCTATAACTTCGTTATTACGATTAACTTGATCTTCAAAACATATACCATTTTCAGGAAGGAAGTTACCTTTTTTATAATCACCAATAATAGACTTCATTATTTCTCGAACTTCTATTATTCAATATTTAAAAGAAATACGGGATTAATGAGAATCCCATAACTATAACACTAAAATTATATGAATGATATCTTTGGAAAAGGAGAAACTATTTCTATTTCATAAATAAATGACATCATGTTTTTTCCTGGCTTAAATTGCAATACTAATATGCTTGAGTAAGAGCACAATAATTTTTTTTCCAAGAACAACTTTCTTGTTAACTGGAGGGCATAAAAAAATAAAATAAAATATGATGGCTCAAGTGACAGGAACAAAATAAATATAAAAATAATAAGATGTTCATTAAAACTATTAATAAATATTCAATTTATCTTTTAATTAATATTTAAAATACACTAAATGTGTATAAGATAGAAATTTAAAAAATGAATTAAAAAGTAACTACGTATTTAAAATACACATTCACTTCCTGGCAGCCTGTACCATTAGATTTTCTGCTTTAGAATTGACTTTTTCTTGTAAGTTTTTAATTTATTGAATTATCTTTATAATTCTTTAATAGATTACTATTAAAATGCCCACTGTTAAAGATAATAACTTTAAAGTTTTGACGCTAATTATATAATTGAATTTTAAATAATTTTTTGAAGTAGTTAAGATAAAATTCTTGTGAATCATATTATTTTAGACAATTTACTAATTAATCATTTTAAAATAATGTGACTGTGTGTTTAATATTTGACTGCCTGTCTTTACATATCTACCAAGGATGGTGAAAAGAACAAATGACAGAAAAACAAATTGAATGTTATATATTTTATTATTAATTGTATTTTTTTCTGGTAAAGAAGTGAAGATCATTGTGTTTCATAGAGAGGAATCAGAAAAATGTTGATTTTATCATTAACTGTTCTCTCTGTCATTTGACCTTTTCATCAACCTACCCACACACACACATATATATGTTAATATGAAAACAAATAAATTCCATGTTAATCACAGTACGTAAAAGTAATTTAATATTTTTGCAGTACTTATAATAGGATAGGTTCAAAAGTAATAGAAAGAATACTTACATTATGAACAGAAATAAATAAAAAAACTAAAACTCATGATCGTAGATACTGTTTCTGGATAAGCGATAGAATATATAAAATAGGTAAGCATAATGTAAATCATTAAGTAGAGATAATGGCACAAATTCACAAGTGCTTTGTCTAGGTGAGGTACAGAGAAAATCACACCAGTAGATTAAACGCCAGAAATATCCAAGTGTGTCTGATAATACCATCAAAAAGTGTAATTGAAGTGATCTTGGTTACTCGTTATCCAAACAGAGCATTTGTGAACTAGTATCAAAATAAATTTAGGTTCGTTGGATATTGTAAAAAATTTAATAAAAAACATATAACTCTAATTTCAGTAACTGACAAACAAGGTTTATTTCAATTTCTTATTTACAGTATTTATATGTACAATAAAAAAAACTTAAACAATTTAAAATTGAGAATCAGTACAAAATAATAAAACTTATTTATTTACAAATGCATGTACATGGAAACTAAAAGTTAAAACTTTACACAGTAGGAATCTCAACATTATTTGGTTTCAATCTCTTAGCTTTCTTCTTTAACCCATCAAACATTTTATCCTTTTTTTTCCTTTTATTAAGATTTTTCTGCAGAGAATCTTTTTTAGTTTCTTTCTGTGAAGTAATTTCTTTACCATCTGTTTCAACCATTATTTTTAAAACATTACAAAGCCTCTTGAAGTTTTGTTTACACTGACCTTTCATGATTGGCATTTCTTTAATTTTTTCAGTCAACAATTCCTTTAACTTATTTAGATTCACCAATTCAGGGAATTTATTTTGATTTTGTTTTATAAAAATAAGAACTAATAATGACCAAAGTTCTGAATAAAATTTTAAGTTAGCTTCTTTCTCTGAACACATTTTATCAATGGCTTCATTAATGCTCATATGAAATGACTCGGCATTACTTGTTAAATAGCATTCATAATAGCTCTCCAAATGTCCATCAAAGTATTGAGGTGTTTTAATGAAAGTTTCAACCATTTTAAGGCCAAGAATTCTTTTGTGTAATTTAACAGTATCATCAAAAATTAAGTTGATTATATTTGGGATTAAAGCTAATATACCATCCCATCCAATTGAAATCATATTATTAAACAAAATAACAGGAGCATTGTTTTTACTATTGAAAAAATCTTCAATGTGTTTTTTAAATAATTGAAATATTTCATTCTTTTTTAGATGCTTTTGTTTGAGACCATTACTAAAAGGTTTTGCTGATTTTAAAATGAATCTTATCATGCTGCATAACTCCATTTTCATATCGCAATAAACTCCAGACAATTTAGATAACTTCTTAAACAATTCTGAAAGTGCATTTACAGCTTCTTTTTCACAGTTTTCTTCAGTATTAACTTTAGAGGAATTTAGTTTTTTAATGCAACAGTTTATTTTAGATCTAAGATTATCTAATTGTTTTTGACCTACAGTTGACGCGTACAATTCAATTAGTGGCAATGCAGCTTTCAGCCAATAAGAAAAAGGTAATACAACTTCTGTACACATTTCTAACAAATCGATTACTCTTATTCTAAAGTGAGACAATTGGTTTTGATATTTAGAAAAGTTTTTTGATCTCTTCCGTTTCATATTGGATTTAAAAATGTTTCCTAACGTCTCATTTAAACGTCTACCTTCATCTTCATCTATATCATCCAAATCTACAGATTCTGCATCTGAATCTGCTGTTAATACATTTCTCAATTCAAAACGCAGTTTTTCGTTTGCTTTAACATCATCATCACAGTCACCATCTTCATCCTTTTCTGCTTCTGAGTTATCATTTGATTCATCTGAATCACTATCAGCATCACTATCATCAGATTTAATAGCCTCATCATGTTCCAATATATTCCGGGGATCATATGATAGTTCTAACACTTCAATAATTTGATTAAAAGATTCTGGAGTTAAGTGTGGACAAAGTGATTTAAAAATACATCGAATTAAATGTCTATGGTGATAGTTTGGTTTTGAAAGTAAATTCAAAAATAAATCTATCAACACTTCAATCCACATGGATTTACCTCCTTCTTTAATTTCTAGAAAGATGTTAAGCAAGTCTTGAATATTAATTATTGCTGTATTTGATTCCTTTAATATTAGGATGCTCATATACTGAAGAATAATTTTTAGTACGACAATTACCACTTTAGATTCACTTTCCATATCTTTAACCATTTCTTCATTAAGTGAAACTGCCTTTTTCCAGGCCTCAAACATATCATCAGTAAAATTAATTAGTATATCATCTTTATGCTTATCTAACATTGAATTCAACTCTAAGAATAATTCATTTAAGACTTTCTGAAATGATTCTAAATTAGGAAAACGGTAGCCAAGGCTAGTGAGGAAAGCTTCTTGGACATGATTGGTAAGTTCACGACTTAAATGTACTTCTTGTTGTTTAAAAAATCCTAATTTTAAAAGGTAGACTAACTGTGATGCTCGCCAAGGGATTTCTTCATAGCAAGCATGACTGTTAATGATTTTTGTGTAATAATTTAAACAAATAAGGACACCTTTTTTTTTAAGATCAAAATTGACTATTTCCTTCTTGCTTTCAATAACTGATTTATATAAACTAGCTAACTCAGTCAAACCATTAAATGACAAACTATTAGTTAAGATTAATATTGTCTTGCTACCAGTCAATACATCAAAGTCTAAAATTCCTTGCTCAAATAAAGTCAATCTTAAAATGCCTAGTTTAACTTCATCATCAGCTGTTTTCATGAAAAAGCAAAAGTCATTTAAAAACATTTGAACAATGCTTTTATTTTTGTTGATGTTTCGTAGTAAAAGAAGAATTAAATTTTGGCTCCATATTTCTTTTCCCAACTCTTGATTTTTGCTTTCAATACATGATTTGAGTATGGAACAACATAATTGTAAAGTTACAGCATCATCACTGATTGAAAACTTAACTAATTCATTTGTGTTCTCTGTTTCATTTTTTAAATGTTTCTGTTCGATTAAAGATGACCAAAATGATGTAAAAAATTTTGGATGATTAATCACAGCATTGGTAATTTCTGGAATAAAGTTGTGTTCTAACATCACTGAGGTTTTGCTCTTTTTGATGTAACATATTATTTTAGAAGCATTAGCCAAGTCGAACAATGACTTTGTTCCAAGAACTTTTTTAATTGTAGAAGTTTTGAATGATTTATTTTCTAAAGCAAGTATGTAGTTTAATTTATCAAGTGGATTATCATTTAAATCCCTAATATCATCTACAAAACCGTCGGGAATAAATTCTTTATCAGAATTTTTAAGCATTTCAGTCATGAAAACATAAGACACATGATGCAAATATGATCTTTTTCTTCCAAGTTGAAAAAGTTTAGTAAAAACTGTTTCCTGAAATTCGCCTGATTCCCTATAAATTAAACCCGTAACAATCATTGCCCCATATGCTAATATTTGTCCAAGATAAGCTTCACCTTTTTCTTGTTTGCTATTGTTACCTGCTGGATGAAGTTCACTGTTGATTAATTCTTCAAATGTAGATACCTTAAATTCTGTTGGAAGAAGAGACATAAAGCCAACAGTGCAAGAGAAACATCCT